TGTATTCTAATAAATTCTATATTAACAACCTCGTGTCTGCTTATTGATGAAAAACATTGGATGTTAATATCGTTGCAGAATGGTGATATCTTGCCTGTGAAATTTCTATATAGCTCACAGTGAATCTTTATATACTGAATAGGGACGCCTGGCTGTTCAGGGCTTCCATGACTGCTTCCATCTCAATTGAGTTAACAGATCCCAGGACTGACTTTCTATTAACCTCAGCATTGGATTATAAATAAACAGTTTTCTTTTTAAGCGTTTACTTCTGTACAAAAACACATACAACACAACTGTAGCCGACATTTTAGCAGTATTCCCTTCTTCAGATACTGGAAGCATATGCTGAAATGCAATTTGCTACGCAAACGCTTCAAAAGCTCACAGAGGAAAATGAAAATATACATGGTAATCACGTGGACAACAGCTTCTCGAAAAACCCACCGTCTTTTGCGTGCTTTTCACTGAGAAAGAACAGCCGTTTAGGTTGATGACTGCACCACCCCACATCAGAAATCGTTGAGGATATGGAGCGAGATCCTACAGTGAATAGTAGGAAGGAATGGTCACAGATTACACGTGGCTTCCTCCCCTATCTTCGCATCGACTTTTGATGTGACGTGGTGCATTCGTCGTCCTTATGCGACTCTGATCAGCTGTTCCTCCACAGTGGAAGGTACGTAATAAACGGTGGGTTTTTCGGGAAGCTGTTGATCACGTGATTGCCATTTAAATTTTCACCTTTCTATATGTGTTATTAAAGTGTTTGCGTAGTGAATTGCATATCAATATACTCTTCCAGGCTCTCAAAGAGTCGATTCTGCCGAAACGTCAGCTATTGTTGTATTGTATATTTTTCTATGGAAGTAAACGTATCATGTATAACAACCTTGCGAATGCTGAGGAAGAAAACGACGCATTTATAATGCAATGCCGTGGTTAATGGAAAGTCGATCCTGGGAACAACTAGAATATTCTTACTTATCTAAAAAGTCTTCCAATCTAACTGTTTCTTCCAAGGAAACCAAATTCGATATAATGGTTAATGTTGATTTTACAACTGAGAAAGCTACCTATCGGACAGCACTTATTGTTAGGCTTTTTCTCGTTTTTCTCATAGAACATTGAACAGACGGCTCTTCCATCGGCGTTCGTCTTCTTTTCTTCTTCATCTTTCAGACAGTCCATCTGTGTTTTGCAGTCATTCTCCGTCCTCATGTATGTGAATCTATCTTTGCATTTCGCAACTGTAACATTAAGGAATGATCTAAGGACTGCATTACGGTCAGAAAGACCTTCATGAGAAATTAATGGAGTGTTGAATACGCGCTTATGAAGATTAGTAACGGAAAGATGAACGTCATTGCGAGAGCCATTCTGAATAATATCTATAGTCGACTTACCTTATGATTCACTTTCTCTTAACATTAAAAATCTGTTAACTGTAAAAAAACTATGGAAGGGTTACCGAAAGAGAAATATTCGTATATCAAAAATTGCGCTCAACGTGAAGAATACTTTTGTTGTTAAAGTCGAAAAGACAGAAAGAAGTTTTCGTTAGATAAGATAAAACTGTTCGATCTTATATGAAGACAGTGGAAAGCTTGGAGAGTTTTTTTGCATATTATAGCTTTTCAATAAGCCAGTAATGCGGCCGAGAGACAACGAAACGAACAAGTAGCATGGTGTGGTGGTGAACGCGTTAGCTCCCGTGAAGGGTAACAGCGTGTTCGATCCCCACCGTAGACATCGGCGGTTCGGAGTTTTGCAAATATCTCTCCAATATTAATATTATTTCACATGATACACAGCCATTAAAAATTAATAGGCAGTAGATAAAAATTGAAGACATCGTAATTTGTACTATAGCTTCAGTTTAACTGGGTTCATGCCGATTTGTGCACCCCAGATCAATCCCATTGATGGGTGATTGCTGTTGGCGCCTATAGGTCAGTAACACGGCCGAGAGACGGACGAAAGACGAAGCACGCGCATGGTGTGGTGGTGAAGGCATTAGCCTCCGGAAAGGGTAATAGCGTGTTCGGTCCCCACCGTAGACACCAGCGGTATGCAGTTTTGCAAATATCTCAGCAACGTGATGATTATAGCTTTTATTTTCTTCTGATTAAATTTTTATGGCGGAATAGGGTTTATAAACGTGTTTTCCAAATATCGTTCAACTTTTTCAGCCATATGATCTAAAATACGTTATCCTCTTTGAGGCCATAGTATGGTAAAGAGCTAGCCACTTTACCATTCATCGCACAAAATCATCAGATGCTGCGTCAAAACTGCAAAGATAATAGCAATAACTCCACCTGACTATTTTGGGGGTATAAAAAAGATTATTAAAAAGTTATATATAAGAAGAAGATTTTAGTTCAACAATGCCGCTCACCAGGGCAGCAAAAACCGTCGCCAGGTCCGCCCGCCGTCACACATTCAAAATCCCATGTGGATTGATCCGACAGTGGTTGGCCCGCAACTTTGTTGCAGTCCTTATCTGCTTCACATTTTATTACCTCCCCTGCGGTATCGTAAGCTGGATCACCACCTAAGCACCTGTACAAGTCTTCCTGCATACGCCTTGGGTCTAAAATGCTAAATTATAATGAAAATTCTTTGGAAACATCATATTTCGACGTAAGTTAAAGTCGAAATAGTGTAGTATAACTGGGCTTACAAAGGCAACAGAGCTTAAGTGGTTTTCCCTTTTCTAAAGGAGCTATTGGTGTTCCTTTGTCTTTCGCTGTGATACATTTACCGCTGAAATGCCTTCAAATAGACTGATTCGGAAAAGTTTATAAATCATGCATAAATCATGCTGAAATTGGGACTGCTGTAACACAAGACGGATTTTGCGCCCATGCAAACCATTATCTGCACATATTCCGAAAAACTCGCTCGTACGCCGTTGTTGTTCCGCTACTCAGTGCATCAGACAGTCACCCACAATGCTCAAACGACGCCACACCGCTTGAGCATCACCACTCCTGTTCATCGAGAACATCTGTGCTGGAGGAACAATCGGAGCAGAAACAAAATATTGAAAATAGCCTGACCTCACCGTAGAATGCAAACTATTTCCAACAAAAGTGCCGTGATAGAAACTGACTAGTTGTAGAAGAAGGAGAACAATCGTTATAGAAAAATGAACTACAGGTTTTAAAAACGCTGTAACTAATATCTAAAATCTGGAACGAAGAACCAAAATAATGACGAAGGAATATTCAAGGAATTCAAGGAATTGGTATTATGAAAAACAGCAATATTAATAATAAAGCTTTTCTTATGTTCGTAATATGCCTTAACAGGTGTTGTATGAAGTCGCAAGTGTTGGGATTTTTGGTGCGTGCAACAAATGCCAGATCTACCAACATTACAAGGTATCAAAGACGAGGTTGAGCTTCTTAACGTTATTCACCAGTCTTATTTATTTCGCAATGCCATATTATGACACAAATACAACTGACTACCTCAATGCACTTTACTGTATAGAGCCATTAACAATTGCGTGAACAGTGAGACAATATGAGTCCTATATGTCTCAAACGTAGTTGAAAACGATTGAAAATTTCAGCTCTAAACAAACGTCAACTGATAGGGAGCTTTGTTAATTGGACTGAAAATATTAAGAATCTACAGTTTTTCACCAACACGACATAGTTTACAGGTCTATCACGAAGAAATGTCTTTTTTATGGATCCTATACTTTTCCACCTTCTTTCATCAAATCTCCTTGTGGATTTAAAGCAACGGAACAAATGGATGATAGAATTCTCGTCGAGGTGCCACTCTTTGTTTTTGTATTTCAAGGAGGTTGAATTCGCTCCGAATTTCCCTACACTGGCACGTGGAATTCCAAGGTGTTTTGAAATGAAAAGTAGCATTTTAAAAAGAACTCATATACCCTTATAGCTATAAGGCAAAACCACGTGTATAATTCCAGCTCTTACATTCTCAAGTACTTATTTATCAGAAAACCTTTGAAAGGTGGAGGAAACAGCATTCGGCTGTTCACAACCGAGAACCCTGACAAGCAGCTCTGCTTACAAACATTAGATGTGTACACTGCAGGAAAGAGGCAACAAGCATACGCAACCTGAACAATTCTTTGAATGACTTGTCAGCGAGGACTTCACCATCAGTGGTTACAGACCACTCCCGCACATTGTTTAGTAACAGTAGTTGACGGTTAGGATAAAACCCTATGTCTAATCCTAATCCTGTCAGAGCCGTCTTCAAATAACTTTTTTTTGCCGTTGGCAAGCAAAACATCTTAAACGAAGGCGGATTCGAGTGCAGAAAAGTGTAGAATATGTCAGTGAATAGTACTACAAATATTATGTTAGCAGATCTCCAGGGGAAAGCCAGCGTGTTGCATGACAGAAAAGGGTACAGGAATTTGAAACATCTCGAAGTGACGACACCAGTAACACTCGACGTAGAGTGAGATGTTGACGCTTGCGAATTCCCGAAATTCACCAAAGGTCTCGTCAAGAATGAGAACGATATGTCGTCGACGTCAAGCGAATTTCTGGTGAATTAATCAGAATTCGGAAGACAGTTTCAACTAACTGCCATCGTTCATGGTTCGTATAAGATCTAAAGATGTCGTCAGGAAGACGGAAATCGAGGCACAACAACGAAATTTTAGAGATGTGTGAAAAATTGGGAGAAAAACCACTAGGATTGCATCACTAAAGATGTCCGCTTTTAAAACGATCTTCATTGAGCATGGTTGATGACGTGGTGAACGAACTAAGTAACTTACCGTTCGTCACCTGTGTTGCAATCGTTGTCATTGTTGCACTGCACTGAATCCGCCGCTAGTCGTGCATACAATTTCCTCGTTGCGTTGGCAGCGTCTATTGCCGACGATCCTTCCTCAGTACAATCATCTGAAGTATGCGGATTAGGCGCATGGAAAATGATACATTAAGGAAATAGTGTAGGAGTTAAGGAGATAGTACTGGAGCACTGAATCGCTACCGTCGGCACCATCGTTGTTTAATACACAAGTGAAAAAGAGGATACCAAGAAGAAAAGTGTCTTGTATCCGAGTGGAAAATCGTTTCCATACATTTTTGACCACGATATATTATCAGCTGTCTGAACACATGCAGAATAGAGGTAATCATGTAGTAATGAAAACCGCATCCATGGCCCACCAAGCCTTCCATCACTGCGGAGTCGGCAACGTGGTCCCAGACTTGTCTGGGAAGGGTAGCAGCACTAGTTCCATACATCAGTAGGCCACCGCGAGTCATTGTAAAGACCAGATATGCATTCAATCACCTCCAACGATGGTTAATGAAGTAGAATGGTTGGCGCATCCCTCAGAGACTGATCAACGCCGAGAGCTTTATCCTTTTTAGCTTTTGACGAAAAACAGTTGTTCTTCCGGCATTCGTTTCAGGAATGAAAGAAAAACTCACACTGACAACAAACTCCTAAATTGTTGAATGCGGCAACTGGATTGTCTGCGTTCGACTGAATATCACAGAATTCAGTTGCACCACAATCGGATGACTGCTTGCACGTTTTTATGCCGATGCCACCAGGTTCCTTAGCTGCTTTACCTGCGCATCGCGGCGCTGAAACATTTATCAGATTTTATCACAATCATATCGGAAAACATCCGCTTGTTTTATGTTACACACTGAACCGTAAAGATGCTATTCAGTGAACATCGCAAGTCCCAACACACAAAGTGTCAAACTATCCGCTAGATCGACTTCGACTAGATCGTCTCTGGTCGATAATATGACAAACAACAAATGGCCTATGACATAGATGTTTTCCAAATAAATTTGAATATAACCTGGAAAGCACATTTTCGGAAGAAAGCTTGTCATTTTTTCAACATTAGCGCTGCTAGATTTGTCGTAATTAACGGCTTCATCGCAAAACTCTTCGTCTCCACAGTCTTCGTTGGTCTTGCAAGGCATCGAGAAGTCATCAGTAAAAGCATCAATTTTCTCTAGCAACTCCTCTACTATTTTTACGTTATGGTGTTGGAGAAGTTTTGATGGAAAGAGGTGCTGTGGTTCTGAACTGTCTCGAAACGATTTAGAGTATGGAATTGCTGAAAAAGACAGTATTTAAAGCAGAACAATTATTGTAGAGTAAATGTCCATGAACCCAAAACATTGCCACCATTCAAAAAATAACAACAAAACAAACAAAAAAGCATATTATTGATGTACTGCACTAATTTTTAATTTACAAGATACCGTACAGACTACACGACAATCCCATTCACCACTAATCTAGAAGTTGGTACATCGCAACATATTTAATAAGGTTGTATGACGGGCCCCTTAGTTTGGACGAGTTGGAGGAGTAGTTTAGTGGAAAAAAATTTTAGATTTGACCCCTTTGACAACTTCACGTTCCATATTCCACTATGATAACATTCAGACGTCACCGTAGACAAAACGGGCTCGGCGCCATCGACAAGCAATGAAACAGTGGAAAAATTTGTTGAGCTACATATGGTTCCTGATAAAGCGCGGTTCATAAAGCTCCGGTTTTATTGTTAATTGAAGAACATTTATGTAAAACAAGAGAGAAATCGTTGAATTGCGAGTATAGCGCTGATGATATCCACAATTCAGAACAGGGCTTATGCTTGCTTTGTGGGCTTCGACATTGTTCGCAACAGTTCATCTTTTTCGCTAACTTTATTATTAGCAGGTCACTATGCTTATATTGAAATGTTTAGAAGGAATGCATAGACTATGAGATACATACGGCAACAATATTTGCCCTCTCCTTCGTTCAAAGGAGAACAGTATGAGCTAGGATAAAAGTCCTTCTCAGATTCACATTGTGAACTCAGCTCGCACTTCCTGTAAATACGAAAAAAAGTTGAGATTCAGTTCTTATATAATCATCAATTGTACCTACATCAGTTTCATTCTGTCCGTTTGAGATACATTGTTCATTGGCAACATCGCACTGCTTTTACACAAGCGTATCGCTGGAAAAAATCAAAAACAGAATGTATTGTGGGCATTACACATACTACACAGCTTTGCTGATGAGTACTAAAAAAATTTTAAATATTGCTTCCTTTCTCAAATCTGAACAAGGAAAGTAAATAGTGCTAACAGTCAAACAACCACAATGATGCTGAGATATTTGCAAAACACCAGACCGCGGATGTCTGTGGTGGGGAACAAACACGCTATTACCCTTCTCGGGTGCTAACGATTTGGGCTCCCCAGATCAATCCCGTTGACGAGTGACTGCTGATGGCAGTGATTAATAGAACTAGCTGAGAGACAGACGAAGCGAAGAACCTGCATAGTACGACGATGAACGCGTCTGTCCCCGGAAAGGGCAATAGCGCGTTCGTACACCAAAGCAGACACTTGTGGTCCGGAGCTTTGAAAATGTCTCAGCATCATTGTGGTTGTTCCACAAATAATACCCTACCGTAAAAACTTGTAAAAGACAGTAAATAAAAAGTCAACATAGTGCTGTCAGTTATGAAAATTTCACTTACGCCATAATTCCAGACTTTAGTAGTGAATGAATGCATTTCTAAGTGAGATGGAGACGGAACATTTCAACGACGATTCCTCTCTTTTACTTGACTAGATTTCCAGTTCTACTTTTCATGCGTAACATATTTACCCTCAAACCAAGCTTTCCATCTCTCAGGGTCGGAAAATTGGTATCGTAGTAATCTGTACTAACTTGATGCATCAGTAAACACCGGAATTCAAGGTATAGGCCAGATACGCATTTAATCCCCTCTAACGATGCATGATGAAATCGAATTCACGGCTCACTCTCAAGAAGTGGTGAGCGCTAAGAGCTTTACTTTCTCCTATTTACTGCACATGAGGTAAAGAATCCTATCCACCTATTTTTCTTAGGTGAATAAGTCCATATCATTACTTTTCACAACCAACGCTGGTACAGCTTAAGAGAACGGCATGCGAACTCAGACTTGGCCTCACACCCTCATGCAGTATTGTCAAGTCCGCTTTGCTATTAGCCATTTAAATTCGAAGGCTAAAAAGCAGCAACTTGGAGCATCCGCTTGCTGATTTGGATGCCTATGCCGATTCTATGGCGTATATCTGTTTAGTCAGAAAGAAATAGGTGTTTTACTGTTACTTGTTCAGATCACGATCAAAGCAGATTTCAGGTGATGTGAGTGAAAGATGTTACCATAATACTTCGTTTTGTGCATGCAGTGAAGATTCTATGGATCATGGGAAATAGCGATAGTCCATATGTAACCAGAAATGCAGCTGGTATGTTGGCAAATGAATACTGTTAGATGGTTGTTTCTAGGGTATGTTGGGATGCTAAGATGTCCACCAATACTGTTATGTCTAAACTAAGCGTACTAATGCTCACCAGCGTAGACATGACGGCTACGAGCAATGCCATCCAGCGAATAGACGAAAATTCAGAGCACATATTGATTCTTCGTTCTATGCACGTCGATCTAACGCTTACAATGAGATCATGTTGTAAACTAGCTGCTTAGAAGTTACCGAATTTTTTTTGAACTTCAGGCACTTGAAGAGACCTATCAAGCGATGTGAAGCTTGTAATGAAATGAAATGGAAAATCAGCGATGTATACACAGTAGCAATAAGACCAACAGGCGCTTTTTAACCCATAACGCAACTGTGGGCGCTGTAGTGTCCATTTTCATTTTAATAGGCTCCAGACCCTTTTCTCGGTAGCTTATCGAAAGGAGGCTGAAATAGGAGGGTGAGACCAGAAAAATCGTTCTCTACCCTTATCATTGCAAAAAAAATTTTTCCGAGAAAGTTCAGTGGCTGATAATATGGCGAACAAGTAACTGTGAAATTGTTTTAGTCGCTATGGTCATTGAACAAAATGTGCAGATATAAAAAACCCTGACAAACTCAAAATCTGTGCAAAATACTTCCAAGTGCTGTCAACAAAGTATTTGCATAATGGATTATAGTAATACGCAAAAAGCAGTTGCATGCAAATCATTCATACACATAGAACGAAAGAGTAAAGCGTCTTCTAAAGTCTTGCTATGTTCACAACCTCTAAAGTACTCCTATTCTTATCTATTTTTCATGACCGTTCATCACCATCTACTGCGCACAGCCAAGCACTTCTTGCATTCAATTCGTTTTCCTAGCACTCATCGTTCACAATGGTCTTCGAAAATTTGCCGTGTTATTTCAGCGCTTCTGCCTGAGGATTTCATCTTCTTTATGAATGCCGTAGAAAACTGGCCGAGTCAATTCTCGCTGCAATCTCCACACTAGCTCTGTAAAGACCTTTTGAGGTAGACTAGAGAAGAGCGTTGCTACAAAGCAAGCACTAAATCGGAGACCCAGCAGTCGACGAAAGATTACTCGTACTCGAAGGGCCAACGGGGCAAACGGGCGCAAGAGCGTTATGGGTTAGTGGTGTGGCTGACGATGGTGGGCGAATTAGTTTAGTAATTAGGAGCTTATGGAGTGCTGTGCGATAAAATTTCCCTAGGTTTTTCGAGCACAAGAAAAAAGAAGGCAAAAAAACCTAAAATTCACGTAAAATCTGAACAACATTTCCACGTAAAGGTTTGACAACCCAAGAAGGCAGTTAGAAGATTTTGCAAGAAATGAAGATAAAAATGGAAGAACGATATTGCATAACCAACTGTCACTGTACCCAAGTGTGATAGAAAGCAAGTGATTTGCCCGGTAAGTCTTTAATGAAATATTTTCTTCCCGGTATTTTTTTAAATGGCAATGAAAAATTGCACTTCTCGTTCTCTAGGTGCTAAACAGGCAGAAGCTTCAGAAAATGATCAACACCATAAGCTTTTTATTTTTTCACTTTTGCATGAACATTCATCACATTTGCTGTGTGAAACCCATCACTTCTTATTAACCGTCCACAAAGGCCTTCGAAAATTTTGGGTGATGCTTCGGCTGCCGTTTGAGGATTTCTTCTTTTCCACGAATGTTGTGCGACGCTGCACGAATCGGATCTTGTTGCAATCTTGGAGATAGTCCAACTAGGGCATTGTCATGTGTATTGAGAAGAAGTCTGAGGAGTATGTCGAACCATAGCTTTGCTTCCGATTATAGCGCATCATTAACCACTGCGCTCTCGCCCGCGTCTCTCCCACCGCTAGATGCTTCATCCTTCCTAATTTTATTTTGCAGAAAAATTAGCCTAATCTTAAAATTTACTTAGATAATCGAGCTATCAGAATCAAGAAATCAAAAGAAGGATGCTATAAAAATTTAAGACATCTATAATAAATAAAATGTTGGGGATGTTCACGTTAGAGTTTTGAAGGCTGACCGTTCGACAATCACCAAGAGATATTTGCCTCCAGAAACACCCCAACTGACATGCCAGGGTGGAATAGAAGGAGTTGCAGCAGGCGCCAACTCACGTCCGAGCTTGCAAAACAATGCAGACAGGCGATAAAAGAAGATCTTAAAGAGATAGGAGCAGCAGTTTTCGTTGAAGCTGCAGAGACCTGGAAAATCATTCGCAGAGGCCGCCGAAGTTTCGCCAAGTGCAAAACCAGCATGATTGCACTCCGATGCCTACATGGAACACCTACTGTGCCCAGAAAGGCAACAGAGAAAATTATTATTGAAATAAAGAAGGATGGATAGATTGTGCCACCGGTTATCTCTTTCAAAATCCGACGTTGTCTTCTCGGTGAAAAATCGAACGACACCAGGTTCCAAAAAATGAGATTTGAACATCTGAAGAAGATTCCGGTAGTCCTCATAGACACAATCGCTTGGCTCTTCACACGTAACCTGTCTGAATGCAAGGTCCCTACTCAGACGAACACCAGCAAGACTGTGTTGCTGTTCATGAACGGAGATATCCGGGGACAACGGTAAAAATCGCACAATCTGCTTACTTTTTGTTGTCCACAAACTCTCACTTGAGTCACTGCATACGGAATTGATAAATCACTGGACAA